AAGGAGTTCCACAGGTTGACTGTGCGCTGCATGAAGAAAAACTTCCTTTTGTTTATTTTAAACCTGATACCTATTCATTTCATTTGTTGACCCCTAGTTCTTGTGTGATGGGAGCAAGTAACTAACTTTTCCTTATTCATTTTCTCCACACCAGGCATGGTTTTATAGACCTCTGTCACATCCCCGCCCTTAATCTCCTCTTTTCTAAGCTGAAAAGTCTGGCTGGATAACCGTACTCAGAGAGTGCTTATTAATGGTTCTCAATCCTGCTGGAAAGGCATAACAAGTGGGGTTCCACAGGGGGTCTCTTCTGGAACCAGCTCTGCTCAATATTTTCATCAACGATTTAGATATTGGCATAGAGAGTATGCTTATTAAGTTTGCAGATGATACCAAACTGGGAGGGGTTGCAACTGCTTTGGAGGACAGAAGTCGTTCTTCTGCCCTATTCTGCACTGATTAGGCCTCAGTTTGGAATATTGTTTTCAGTTCTGAGCACCAAATTTTGAGAAAGATGTGGAGAAATTGGAGAAGGCCCAGAAAAGAGCAAGAAAAATGATGAAAGGTCTAGAGAACATGACCTATGGGGGAAGACTGAAAGAATTGGGCTTGTTTAGTTTAGAAAGGAGAAGACTGAGAGGGGACATTGGTAGCCTCAGCAAGTACAGGCAGTCCCCGGGTTACGTACAAGATAGGGACTGTAGGTTTGTTCTTAAGTTGAATCTGTATGTAAGTCGGAACTGGCGTCCAGATTCAGCCTGTTGAAACTGATCAGCGGCTTATTCCAGGAAGCCCGGGGCAGAGCAACTCTGCCTCGGGCTTCCTGTAGTCAGCCACTGGTCAATTTCAGCAGCGGCTGAATCTGGATGCCAGTTCCGACTTACATACAGATTCAACTTAAGAACAAACCTACAGTCCCTATCTTGTACGTAACCCGGGGACTGCCTGTACTTGCTGAGGCTACCAACAGTAGGCACGATGTGGTAGTCTCTTTTGGTAATGTGGATACCTGCTTATTACAAACTGGACTGAGACCAATGCATTTTGTCTGACTGCAAATGACTCGGATTCTTAGGGTAAATTTTCAGCCTGGCTATAACTGGGTCTCCATTTCTGCAGAAGCTAATAACTGTAGGTGACTTTTTAATCAATTATTTAAGTGATTTAGACATGTCATTAACTATGTCGCATAATAGAGGATTTAAACATCTAAATCTAACACAATTGTGTGCTATAAAAATGGAGAACATTGTCAGAAAATGTTGGCTTTGATTTTTACCAAGCCAGTTTTGGAATTAGGCTCCATATTCCTTGCCTAGTTCTCATTCAGTCTTATTTTTATTCTGGTTCACAAAATAAGTTTGTTTGTTAGTTTTAAAATGTTCTAATGATAATCCTTAACTCTATACTCAGATTTTGGACTTAGCTATGCCAAAAATGGCGAGCTTCTAAAATATATTCGCAAAATTGGCTCATTTGATGAGACCTGTACCAGGTTTTACACTGCTGAAATTGTATCAGCATTAGAATACTTGCATGGGAAGGGAATAATTCACAGGTAAGGTACTTAATTGGGACCAACACATTTGCAGTGGTATGTAATAAAATAGTGCATTTTTAAAAGGCATACTTGTGATATAGTTTAAATATGACTAAATATGTACTTTTTTTAAAAGCGTTTTGACTAATAGAACTATTTCCTCGCAGTACTATAAATCAAGAAAACTAGTGCTTGTGCATAGAACCTTGCAGTGGGACTGGGATTCATTGGGTGCTGCAAGATCTGCTGCCAAAATAGCATCAGTGGAACAAATGTACTTTGTTTCAGGGAGGGTTGAGGGACAAAAACCAGACTGCTGTGATTTGCAGGAAAACACTGAATTTCTTGTCAGTTTGTCAAATAGAATTTCAACAATGTAAAGCAAGCTTTTCTTTTTCAAAATGAAGTTTATAATACTTAAATTTAAGCAAAGTATAGGAAGATTTGATTTTTGTAATAGGTGTTAAAGTATTTTACATGATGTAAGTGAGATGAGTTTTATTCTTTTAGTGATAAAAAATAGTTTGAATTCTATTTGTATATAATATATTAACTGATTTTTTTTAAATAGACTCCCCCATGTTAACAAAAAATATAAAAAAAAATCTTCCTTTAAGGATTTGCAGCATCTATAGTTTTTGAGGGAGGGAGTGATATAAAAATGCAAGAAATAATGTGGGAGTGGATATTGTGAAGTGGGAGTGGGATTTAAAAAACAGTCCTGAATAGCGCTCTTTGTGAAATACAATGTGCGGGAAATTATATAGAATCATAGAACACTAGGACTGGAAGAGACCTTGAAAGGACATCAAGTCAAGTCCCCTGCCCTCACGGCAGGACCACGCTCCATCTCTAGACCATCCCTGATAGATATCTATCTACTCGGCCCATGGGCCGTGTATTGAGTAGCCTTGGTCTAGACTAAGGATGTTAAACTGCAGTTAATTGACTAGTCAAGTAGTCGATGGAAATTCTGTCGACTACTCGATTAGTCGATAGGCACTTCCACGTTCCTCCTTTAAAATGTACAAGAGCTCCTATTGGGGCTCTTGTACATTTCAAAGGAGAATTGCAGGAAGCACCGTTGACTCTGGGCTGCATGCAGGTGCCTACCTTGAAATACACAAGAGTCCCCAGTTGACCCCGGGTTTCGCGCAGCATTTCAGCAGAACCTGGGATTAGCTGAGCCGGGGATCAGATGTGCGGTGGCTGCCCCTTTGAAACACTGCCTTGGTGTTTCAAAGGGGCAGAGCTGTGAAGCCCATGGAGAGCTGGGGACTCCCAGGCTCCATGGTGCTTTGGCATTTTAAAGGGGCAGCGCTGCACAGCTGAGCCACGGATCAGCTGTGCGGCAGCTGCTGCTTGGGGAAAGCAGTGGAGCCTGGGGGCAGCTGGGGACTCCCCAGCTGACCCCGGTTCCGTGCAGCATTTCCCCAGAGCCTGTGGTCAGGTGAGGTGTCCCCTGCTGACCCTGGGTTCTGGGGAAATGCCGCTCGGAACCCGGGATTAGCGAGGGAATCCCCAGCTGACCCTGGGCTCTACAGAGCTTCGGCGTTTTAAAGGGGCAGTTCTGCACAGCTAATCCCTGGCTCAGCTGTGTGGTGCTGCCCCTTTGAAGTACCCCTTCCCATCCTCCCCCTTTTATTTTATAGAGGCAGCAAGGTGTGTGTTTGTCTAGATCATTTTGAACTATGACCCCCCCCTATCCTCCAAAGCAGTTGCAACTCCTCCCTGCTGGGTATCATCTGCAAACTTAATAAGCGTACTCTCTATGCCAATATCTAAATTGTTCATGAAGATATTGAACAGAACCAGTCCCAAAACAGACCCCGCGGAACCCCACTTGTTATGCCCTTCCAGCAGGATTGTGAACTGTTAATAACTACTCTCTGGGAACGGTTCTCCAGCCATCTATGCACCCACCTTATAGTAGTCCCATCCAAGTTGTACTTCCCTAGTTTTTTGATAAGATCATGCGAGACCGTATCAAATGCCTTTGTGATGGGGCGAGGCAGCCATGCACTGAATCCGCAGTGCCCAGCCAGGGTTACTGGGCTACAGAGGCCCCTCCGCCGGAGTCCTACCGAGCATGTCCAAGCTGCAGCTCAACTGTAAAAGCCTGGGGTATGGCTCAGCCTGGGCTGGCAGCTGGAGGAGAAGGACCTATGCAGGGAGCTCCTGACCAGCAGCAACCCGAGACCCCAGAAGAAGCCAGCGAAGACGCCAAGGCGAGTTGGGGCATCGCAGAGGCCACCCGCCGAGGATACGTCACCCCAAGGAGGACAGCAAGCCTGACAAGTACGTGGGGAGTAGCTCCAGCGGCCCAGGTAGGAAGTGGCCCAGAGCAGGAGCAGGAGCCACCTTTTCCGCCCCAGGGACTTCGGCATGTTTCGGCAGGACTTCCCCGCCAAGGGAGTGGCACGCTGTCCTGTCACTCACAGGGCCCTGGGCTGGGACCCTGTGGAGTAGGGTGGGCCCAGGTCCCCCTACCTAGGGTGCACCCCCACTATAACCTTGTTCCGCCAGCGCCGGCCTTACCTTAAAGACAACTCTCTGTGGACTCTTTGTGGACTCAGTCCGATGGGCCCAGCCTTAAAGGGCCATCCTACAACGGCGTTTGTTAAGATTTTGCATATGGACTCAGGCCTAGCCTTGAAGGGCCCTCCTTAGACTGCGTTTGGGCGACTTTGCTCATGGAATCAGGCCTGTGGACCTTGCCTTAATAGGCCAGCCTGAACTGTATGGGTGAATACTGTGTTTATGGCCTCAGGCTGGTGAGCCTGGCTCTGAAAGGATAGACAGTGCAGGGAGTTGTGGACTCGGGGTCTTTCCAGGCCCCTCAGTGGGGGCTAGAGAGAGTGCCCCATCGCAGCTTACTAAAGTCTAGGTAGACTGTGTCCACTGCTTCTTTCTTATCCACTAGACTTGTTATCCTATCAAAGAAAGCTCTCCGATTGGTCTGCCATGATTTGTTCTTTACAAATCCATGCTGGCTGTTACCTATCACCTTATTTTCTTCCAAATATTTGCAGATTAATTCCTTAATTACTTGCTCAATTATATTTCCTGGCACAGAAGTTAAACTGTCTGGTCTGTAGTTTCCTGGGTTGTTTTTATTTCCCTTTTTATAGATGAGCACTAGATTTGCCCTTTTCTAGTCTTCTAGAATCTCTTGATTTTTGAAAGATCGCTAAAGGCTCAGATACCTCCTCTATCAGCTCCTTGAGTATTCTAGGATGCATTTCATCAGGCCCTGGTGACTTGCAGGCATTTAACTTTTCGAAGTAATTTTTAACTTGTTCTATTTTTATTTTATCTTTTAAACCTCCCCCATTTCCACCAGTATCCACTATGTTAGGCATTCCTTCATCATCAGACCTCTTGGTGAAGACTGAAACAAAGAAGTCATTAAGCACCTCTGCCTCCAGAGCCCCCCATGTCTGCCTCACCACCCTCACCAAGCCCTGCTTTTCCTTCCAGCCGCTAGCTGAGCACTGCTGCCGAAGTCACGGCTGCTCTAACACTGCTGTGCTGGACTCCGCATGTCCTTCCCGCCAGACAGCAAAGCGCTTTTCCGTGTCTGGGAAGAGACCCTGCCCTGCCCAGTGCTGGCTGGCTGAGAGGCAGGACAGGATGCACCTCTCCCAACAGCTGCAGCAGGAGCGGTGTACCCCAACCCTGGCCCCCAGAGCTGCTGCGGCCTGGAAGACAGGTCCACAGTCTGGTAGCAGGCTGCGGACTGGCATTTGCGAACCACTGCCAAAGGCCTACTCCAGTCAGCAATCCGCATGCTGGCTGTCTGCTGCCTGGATGAAGGATGTATTTTGGAAGAGTGTAGAATTTGCAGGTCCTTCCAGCCCAGAACCATTGAAGCAGAGAGAATTCAGCTCTGGACACTTCTACTGGTGTCCGTGCTTGCTCTGCAAGACCAAAGGTTGGACTTCGCATCGAACATTGGTATGTAGTGCGCCACTGGCATTGACAGTTTGGTGCCATTCACCACCTGCAGCCTCGGAGAAAGGGGCTAGGAAGCCATGGAGAGACAAGTCACCTTGTAGAGATAAGGGGAAGAAGAGTGATCAGATGGCCAACAGGCAGGAGAAGGCCCAGGTGGCACCAAGCCTTCCTCAGTGCTGGAGGTCCATCTTCCCTTCATGCTGGAGGCCTTTCAGGCCACACAGGACATTGAGACCACATTGGTACTGGCACCCCAGCACCAGGGGGACCGCAGCATAGAGGGAAGCCTCCATTTGGCCCTCGGTCCAGTCCTGATTTCCTCCAGCATCTGAGAGGAGAGCACCTCAAAGTCCCCAGAGGTCCATCAGAGAGAGGCCGTGGCACGATGCTCAGTCTCCCATATCACCAGTGTCAGCGTGCAGACCTCCAGAGGCATGCGCATCCCCCAGCACCAATGGAACCAGAGAGATAGTGGGTCTCCCTGCTCACCACAGCAGTGTAGGGACATCTCTCCGCAGCCTTGGCACTGTTCGTCGTGCCGTAGATACTCACTGGCACTGAGCTAGTCCAGTTGTAGAGGCTTATCTTGCAAGTCCTGGTCTCTTTCACAGCACTGAGGCTCCCCTCTTTGACACCACTCTTTGGATTCAGGGGGTAGATCTGCTGAGCACCATAGCTGTCGAAGAGACACCAGGAGCTACTGGTCATCGACGTCTCAGGTGGCGGAGTCCTAGTACTGAAGCAATTGCCATACGAGGTCCTTGCCTTGGGCATCAGGAAGCGTCCGGTTCTGCAGTGTGGCCTCAGACTTGGCTTCCATCCCTCCAGCACAGCAGTCTGTGCAACCCTCGGCACCGTCGACCTCAGTGCTGCTGATGCAGTCTCAGGACATGCCATGACGTCAGTCGCAGTGGCAGGTGCAGTGGTGCCCACAGGCTCTCTAGGGTTTCCTGGTCCAACCCCACCTTACCCGTTTGGTCACTGGAGCATTGCAAGCCCCTTCGATACCCCCAGTGTTTCATGGGCAACAGGGTAATGCAGGGGCATTAGCACCTCCACAGCAGGCAGTTGGGGCAAGAGACCAACCCTCCGCTCGAGAGGAAAGTCAACCAGCTTTGGCTGCTTCTTCCACATCTCCAGATAAGGGGATAGTGACATTTCCCCAGTAGTGTCCCTGGATGACTCAGGAGCCCACCAGGACCTCCTAAGATGGGTGCTAATGGTTTGGGCCTCCAAGCTGAGAAGGTGCAGGAGACCTGAGACTTGCTGTTTGGAGTCCTGGGGCAAGTGGAATCCACTAATGGCCTTGCCTCTACATGAGGAGGTTGCCAAGATTGCTAACACTCTGGCCAAACCCCTTTCTCCATCCCATCTATAGCCATGAATGTGGAACAGAAGTATTTTGTCCTGATGGGATCACGATTACCTGTATACCCACCTGCCACTCTGCTCCTTTGTGGTGGAGTCAGTCAACCACAGGGAGCACCAGGACCAGCCGGCACCCACTCCAAAGAATAAAAACTCTAAACTCCTGGACTTGTTTGGCAGGAATCTTTATTCGTCAGCTAGCTTTCAGCTGTGGATGGCAAATCATCAGGTGGTGTTCACCCGCTATGAGGTCAACACTTGGGCAGGCATGGACTAAGTTTGAATCGTCCTTACCAGACAGGCCTCAAAGGGAGTTAAGGCCCTTAATGGACAAAAGGTCTTCAGTGGCCCTGACGGCGCTGCAGGTGCTATCCGATGTGGTGGACTTGGTGGTTCATGCCATGGCATCTGCCATCTCCATGTGGTGAGCAGCATGGCTCCTCCATTCAGGCCTGTCTCTGAAGGTGCAGAACTCTATACAGGACCTTCCCTTTGATACAAGTGCCCTGTTTGCAGAATAGATGGACACTAAATTGCATGGGCTTAAGGATTCCTGTACAATGCTATATGTCCTGTGGACTGAAAGGAAGAAATGTAAAACCCCCCATCAATCAAAGATCCATTATCCATGCCAGGATATGGCTCATTCCTCCCCGAAGCTCTCCAAAAGAAAACTGGACCACTATCCTCAGTCTGGCCAGCAGTCGGCCAGCCAGACTAAACTGTAGGGCAAATGCTTCTTGTGAGTGTGTACCTGAGGACGGCATACTGGACTCCCAAGATCCTGCCAATCTGTTTTCTTTCAGACTTCACCCTTTCTTCCCTGCAAGAAGGGACGTTACTTCGGAGCGTTGTGTCCTAGCCACTATCTGCTATGGCTACAACCTCCAGTTAACCTCCACACTGCCTTCCCACCCTCCTTCCCCATCCCTCTTCAGGGACCCTTCTCACAAGCACCTCCTTGAATGGGAGATTTCCTAGTTGCTCCAGGTGAGAGCAGTGTAATGGGTACCCCTGAGCTTTGAGAACAAGGGATTCTACTCCTGCTATTTCCTGATTCCCAGGGCAAAAGGGGGTCTCTGACCTAGATTGGACTTGCACAGCCTCAACAAATTCCTGGTCTACCTTGAGTTCCACATGGTCTCTCTAGCCTTCATTATTCCCGATTGGGATCCTGGAGGCTGATATGCTGCCCTTGACCTCAATGATGAGTACTTTTATATTGTGATCTTCAAAGGCCACAGAGGCTTCCTAAAGTTTGTAGTGGGAAAGAACCACTACCAGTTTGCTGTCTTGTCCTTTGGCCTGTCCACAGCCCCCAGGGATTTCTCCAAGTGCATGTTGGTGGTAGCTGCATATCTGAGGCATCAAAGATTGCAAGTATGTCCTTACCTGGATGATTGGCCAGTCAAGGGTCCATCAAGACTCAAGGTCCAGAGTGACATAAGTCATGCTACCAGCTTGGTCTATTGATAAACAAGAAAAAGTCAGTATTAGTGCTAACATAGAGGATAGAGTTCATAGGGACCATCCTGGACTCCCCAAGAGAGGCTCGAGTTTTTGTCGACCTAAGTTCTTTCTAAGCTGCATGGCTGCATGACCCTGCTGCTGTTTTCTTAGCCCTGCTCAGAGGTTCAAAACTCCCACGCTGACAGGGAGGTCAGCTGACCGGCGGGGGGGGAAGGGGGTTCTAACTAAGCAACAGCAAAACAGAGCTGAAGTGCTTGAACTGAGGAGCTCCCAGAACAGATAAGCAGGTGAAGTAAGGAGGAAATAAATGGCTGGGGGGAATGAGTGAGTAATCAATTAATTGGCTTGGGGGGAAGTCAGAGGGGAGTTGGGAGAGTCTCATTTGCCCGGGAGAGAGAGAGAGAGAGAGAGAGAGAGACAAATAAAGAAATCCCGAAGGCTCTTCAACCCTCCTGGGCTGGGAAGGGGGCGATAAGGGGCTGACTGCATGAGGTAGGTGAGAGAAAGACGGGGGGTTGGGTATGGGGGGTGCTGGCATCTGTGCAGTGACGTGGAGGCAGGGGCAGTTTGTTTGGGTTATCCTGACTCACTTGCTGCACTCCTCTTTGGGTTGGAGGGATGGGGGGGGGAAAGCAGGCTGTATGGGGAGGTGTGCGGCAGGCGGACATTTGCATGTTTATGTTTCACACAAAGTTTACATAGGTGGTAATGGCTTAAGAAAAAAAAGTTCTTTTAACAGATTTTTTTGGAGTGTTGCAGACATCTAAGACTCTGAACTTAATGATTTTTTAATAATACTGTATTGCATTTAGGCTAGATCTTTGCTATTGCAGTTATTCAGGAGGCAGTCCGGATTTACTGCCGAGGTGTCCTCACAGGTCTCTGGCTCCGTTGATGATGAGAAACAGAATGCTACTTGCATGTGTGATCAATGATGTGGGCTGTGTCGACTTGCGCACTTAGTCTCCACAGCAGACCCCAAGGGTACGAGCTCTGTTGCATCCAAGGAACGCATCTGCTTTTCCGAAAATTTTTTGGAAAAGCAGACATGTTATCCATCACTGATGAATGGGAGCTGCAGGAGCAGCATCTGCAGGCAATGACAGCGCACAGTAAGCTAGGGATGATGCATTTGGCAGGCCTATACTGCAGTCTGCATATCCTTAACTTCTACCCTCCTCTACAGACAATGCTTACAGTCAGCTATATTGAATGGACGTGAGGAAGTACTCCAAGGAAAGACAAGTATCAGAAGGGTAGCCATATTAGTCTGAATCTGCAAAAGCAATGAGGAATCCTGTGGCACCTTATAGACTAACAGATTTATTGGAGCAGAAGCTTTCGTGAGCAAAGACCCACGTATCTGACGAAGTGGGTCTTTGCCCACAAAAGCTTATGCTCCAATATATCTGTTAGTCTATAAGGTGCCGCAAGACTTTGTCGCTTTTTCAAGGAAAGACAGTTACCTGTTCTGTAACTGGTGTTCTTCAAGATGCATTGCTCATGTCCATTCAGCTTCCCACCCTCCTCCCCTCTGTCGGAATTCCTGCAAGAAGGAACTGAGGCAGGTGGGGTAGGGGAGTATCTTATATTGCACATGGCATATGCGTGCTACTCCAAGAGGTGCTGGGAACCCAGCCCCTATGGAATTGCTTAGGGAAAAATTTCCACCACCAGTGCATGTGGCAGGCAAACATACCTATGTTGAAGGGATGTGAGCAACACGTCTCGAAGAACACCAGTTAAAGAACAGGTAACTGTCTTTTTATAAACTTCTTGTAAACTGGACATATTTGATACAATTTACACAATAAATGTGAAACCCTATATGCTATTTTTCATGTTCACTGTTTAGTACAACCATGACAGCATTCTGCATCATCTAGGTGTTCGTTGGCATGCTCTTGTTTTTTATCACAGCTAGAGGCCTATAGAATTCAATGTGTAAAAGAGCTTGTGCATAACTCTCTACGCAATAATTGCCTTAGTGTAGTTATTGTCTCTGTTCCATTCATTCAGTTTTGTGGGGTGGTTATTTTTGAGCCCGTGATGTTTTGTGTAATAGTCAAATTAGTGTGAATTTCATGTCTGTCATTACCATATCTATCTGGCATATGTATGGTCTTTAAATTTAAGATTTACAATTGTATTAGTCTTCTTGGTGGATTTTGTTGAACAGGTGAGATGCATACTGACCTCCCATTTTGTGATTATAACTTTTTTTTTTTAATTTTTAGAAAGGATTGGAAAAATTAGTATGCTTTATGAAATCTGCTAGCTCTCCTCTGAAAGTTGGTTCCCATAGGTCAAATCAAAATTGCTGCAATAGTATTTTCTGTGTGAATTCTTGATGGATTAATTGTATACACAAAGGTTTGTGTGTGTAGTGCTATAATTTGCAGAATTCATTAAGGATACTATTAGCTTCAGAATTGAAATGTGATTTATGTGGTTGTCACATGTTTAATTTTAAATTTGGGACTCCACCTTTTTCAGGGACCTTAAGCCAGAGAACATTTTGCTAAATGAAGAGATGCACATTCAAATAACAGACTTTGGAACAGCAAAAGTATTATCTGCAGATAGTAGACAAGGTATGTAAATGTTCATCGCTGATCCTGTGAACTGTTCACAAAAAGTAGTTCCCTGAAATGCAAATCTCTTGAAATGTAAGTTAAACTGTCATCAACTCCGCATGTTTTAAGTTTTTACCATAGTCTAAATTCGGTTTTGTTGCTTGTCCTAAAACAATGCTGACTCTAAAAACTTATGCCTAGGTGGATGAGTTCATACTCTGTGAATCTAGAACACTTAGAATTTGTTTTGGATAAATCAGTTTTCTATCTAGCATAAAATATAGTAAAGGGAGCTTAATTATTTCTTCGTAGTTTATGAAGAAAGGAAACAAAAGAGTATATCCTTCTGACTCTACAGAAAAGTCTCTTGTCTTTTCTGATTGTGTGCTAGGATGTGTCTTCCATGGCAGTGACTTAAATTAAAATGTTGTCAGGTATTTTAAGCAGTTAATGATTACTGAAAACACAGGATATTAAACTTTCTGAAATCTTGCTTTTGGTATTTTTTTGATACATCAGGGCCATGCAGCAGTGGGAGAGTGGTAGAAAGGAATATATAAGCCCTAAGCTAATTAAGGCATGGTTCCCTGTAGACAGGCTAGCTAAAGCACCTATAGCTTGCTGCAGCTGCACGGCCTCATGTTGCATGGCTGTCTGGACCCAGGTAGCCTTCTGCAGTGTCAGGAATCTAATAAAAATCCCCGGTTTCTGGCAGGCAGATTGGAACAAGAAAGGAGAGAGAACTGGCGGTTGAAGTTGTGTTGCTAAGAATTCACAGAGCAGAAATTGGAGGAAGGGAGACGCAGCCTCAGCAGTGCAGTGAGTGTCCTCCCCTAGTATCCAAGGACCTGAGGGTAAACCTATCCAAGAGGGAAGAGGATAAGAAACTTGCAGGGGTTGAGAGGGGCTGGGGCTCAGATTGAGGAGCAGACCCCTTCTCTACCATTTTTCTGGGCCAGTAGTGGGTCCCTCAGAACCCCAAGAGCAGGGGCAAATGGTAGTGTCCTAGTCCCCTCCCTCCACTAAGAAAAGCGCAGGACCTACCATACCAACATTGGCCATTTTGTCACGCGATGTCAGGAGTGGGATTTCCACGCTGTGAACATAACCAAAGGTGAGTTACAACCAACCTGTCCCCAAGATGGAGGACATGGTCAAAGCTCTGGTATAAGCTACCAACACCCAGCAGGAGGCTACCTGGGTCCAAACAGCTGTGCAGTAAGAGGTCATGTGGCTGTAGCTAGAGACCAATCACCAGCTGATGACCCAGGCCACCCAAGATCAAGCCATGCTGCAGGAAATAGTGAATTACGTAAAGGCCTTTGTGGAGCTGAGCTTACAGGTATGACGGGATGTGAACTATTGGGCCAGCTGCTGTATGCAGAAAATGACACAGGAGGAAGATGTGGAGACATACTTCCCGGCCTTTGAGAGGACAGCCCTGCAGGAGGCCTGCCTGGCTCCAAGACCAGTGGTCAGCCTTCCTCATCCCATTCTTGTGCAGGGAGTCCCAGAAGGCCTCCTCTGGTACGACCGCAGAAGAGGCAGTAGCATGCCCCAAGTTGAAGTCAGAGATCCTGGATAGATCACAGCAGCCTTGTGAGCCAAGAGGTTCCATGAATGGCAGAACAGTGAAGACAAAACACTGGAGAGCACAAGAAGCCTAGCAAATCTATTACAGCTGTCGGGTGAAAGCACGGAAATTTCCAGCCATGAGAACAGGTGACTGGTGCAAGTACCAACAACAGAAAGCAAGCTCCTGGCCACCTGCTGTGGATCCTCTGAGGCCACGAAAGCCGTTGGGGAGGTGAATTATAAGGTGAAGCATCCAGCCTGCCGAAGGCCATAGTAGATCTACCCTGCCAACTCAATGCAACCCTGGCGCGATGCGGAGACATGCCTGGCCAAACTGCCAGTTCCACCCTGAGCAGATGGCCCACAGAGCAGGTAAGGATATCCCCCAAACTAGCCTCAGAATAATGAACAGAAATAATCAAGACGATTCAGTGGAACCAAGACATGTTTTCCACACAACCAAGCTATATACTATGCTGATCCAACATCACATTATCACCTATGTTGGAGCAAGGATGGTGATAAAACCATATCACATACCAGAGCCAAAAAAGAAGAAATTAGGGACGAAGTAAGGAAGAGGCTCGAACTTGAGCAGTCCCACAGCCAGTGATCTAGCCCTAATGTCTTAGTCCCCATGCCTGATGGCACCCTGAGGTTCTGTAATGACTTCAGGAAATTAAATGAGGTATCACAGTTGGATGCCTGCCTAATGCCATGTGTCTGTCAGCTGGTACAAATTAGGCAAAACCTGATACTTCACAAAAGGCTATTGGCAGACCCCTCTGGCTGAGGACACCAAGGAAGAAAATATCTTATCTGCACCCTCCAATATACTGTCCTCCTTTTTGGATCCATGGGGCCCCTACAATGGTTGATGAATAGATTACTTCAGCTCTTTGTCCAAAAAGGCAACAGCATATTTGGCAGTGTAGTATTCCATAGGCCTGAGTGGGGAGGATACCTTAGGAAAGTGGAAGTGGTACCAGACTTTCTTAGGCTAACCTCACCCCAGTCCGTCCAAACATTCAGTAGGGCTAGCCAACGCTAGATACCTTGGGAATGTAGTTGGAAGGGGGCTGGGGACCCCTAGAGGAACAAAGTGGAGGCAGTATAGGAGTGGCCCTGGCCAGTGCACAAGATGCAAGTCAGAGAATGGTCTTAGAGATCATGGGTACTGTCACAATTTCGTGTCTCACTTCACCATAAAGGCAGTGTCTGTGATGGAACCTGATAATAGCTTGGGACCCAGAGATAGTTAAGTGGACTGAGGCTGCAGAAGAGGTTTTCACAGACCTGAGGCTGGTGCTTTGCAGTCATACAGCACTCCTAGCCCTAGATTTCAAGCACAAATATGTTTTAAAAACAGACGCCTTAGAGGTAGAACTTGGGGACATTCTTTCACAGATGGTGGGAGATGAGAAGTGCCCAATCCTTTACCTCAGCTGGAAGCTCTTGCGTAGGGAGCATTGGTACGCCGTAGTAGAATAGGAATGCCTAGTGGTTAAATGGGCCATGGAGACGCTACGGTACTATCGCTGCCTCAGTAAGTTCACCTTTGTTATGGACAATGGTCCACTATAGTGGATGCACACTAACAAGGAGAAGTGACTAGATGGCTCCTCTCTACAATCTTTCCACTTCTAGATGCAACATAGAGCCAGAAGCCAACATGGCTGTGTAGATGGCCTGTCACGACAACACTATCTCTTGTCCCAAGTAGCCCAACACATGGTGTTGAGGGGTGGGGGGTGGGATATGGGATACAGCAGAGCCATGGAGCAGTGGTAGAGGAGAGAGATAAGCCCTAGACTAATTCAGGTATGGATCTCTGTAGAATAGGGAAGGTTACTACAGGTTCATTGGATCACCTGCAACCAATTAAGGCCTTGTCAGTGTTGCAGAGAACCAAAAGTGAAAAAGATCCAGAAGATCTGGTCCCAGTTCAGCTGAGAAACATCCTCTCCTAGACTCAAGAACTGAGGGTGACCCTCCTCAAGGAAGAGAGGGTAAGAAACCCACAGGGACTGAGAGGGGCTGGGGCTCAGAGTGAAGAGTAGACCCTTTCCCCACTTTACTCCTCTACCACCTTTCTGGGCAGCTAGCAAGGACCTTGGTGCCCCAAGAGCACAGGCAAGAGGTGGCATCCCAGGAAAAGTGTGGGACCTTAATTTGTATTAAGTTGTCTTTTGCTGGTGGCTACTATAGTACTGAAAGAACATGCTGGGAAATGTCCAGCTTTTGGGGATTTAATTTGTGATATGTTTAGGAACAATCTTCCATGCCACGGCAGGGTCTGCGTGATGTGCTGTAGTGTTTTACACATTTCGCACAGGGAAATGTTGAAGATATGGTGGCTAGCATGTCTGTGTGCGCCTGTGCGGGCACACAAGTGGCAATGCTCTGGCTGTGCCTCAAGAGCCCTGCACTTCTGGTGGTTAGTGTTTGCCTCAGAGGCTCACTGTGACCCTCTACGCAGCCCCCTGCCCTTTATTAGAGACCTGCCACTGCAGCCAACTGTTGTCCTAAAGACTGGCCCCTCTATCTCGGGCAAGCCACAGTCTGTCTGGGCCACACCTTGGTGGCAAGGTATGGTGGGTGTAAGGAGGGGACCTGAGCCCGCCCACTACTCTGGGTCCCAACCTAGGGACCCTCTGGTGGCAGCCTTGTCCTGCCCTCCTCTACTCCCCTTTACTGCCTCTAGTTCCCTCGACCACTTCCTCTGCATCTACTTGCCCTTGTTACAAGGCCTGCAGCCTAGCATTGACCAGTCTGGAGTCCTTATCTCTAGCTCCCCTTAGCCTGCCAAGCATTGCTCTAACCTTCCTGTGTGTGTCTGATGGGCAGCTCCTTATATGCAAGCTGCCCTCTGGTTTGTTTCTTAAAAGCATGTCTCTGATTGGCCAGGGCTCTGCACAGGCTCCCTCCAGCCTGCTTTAACCCCTTACAACCAGTGTGAGGCAGTTGCCCCACCACACTTGTATATAGAACTTTTTTCCTGTACTATATTTTTTTTACACGACAAGTAATCCTGTGGCATATGAAAGACTAACAAAAATATATAATGTCATGAGCTTTTGTGGGCAAAATCGTCTTCTTCAGATGAGCTTGAGTGGAGAAAAAAGGGGGACACTCAGAATTTATAACAGGAAAAAGAAGGGAGCCGGGAGGGGAAAGAAGTACCGGTTGTTGGAAGGAGACTTGAGAGAGGATGGCATCAGTGGACCACTTTATTGCCCACTGTGACAGAGAGTGCATTCCCCACACTGGGGGGGTGGCGGCTCACACTCTGGGGCAGAGGAAGTCCCACCCCTTTCACCCAGACTGGGCATGCTTGAAGTGCTGGAACAGTAGAAAAGGCAGCAGAGCAGCTCAGTCTGGGCTGACCAGCGAAGATGATGAACCTCCTGCCGGAGCTCCTAAACTGCTGCTGCCAGCCACCC